TTGTACATGTGCCTAGGTTCATAATAGTTAGAAGGTTTAACCATTTTGTTCCTATTTTGTGAAAATGATGGTTTTTGGAAATTTTGAAACTGGCCTCTTCTAGGTGTTCTAGCATCATTTCTTCTTATTTGAGAAAATTCATTTTTATGCACAAAATCATTTTTCTTAGGTTGTCTACCATGACCGTTTTCATTCCTAGTTTTTAGTCTAGGTTGTCTGGTGTCCTTAGGTTGACTAGATTTTCTATTATCTTGTTTTTTAGGTTTCTTATGTTGAACCTTAGATGATTGTCTAGGTGGTGGCTCAACATTATCTTTAGCTTTATTTTTATCAAAACATATTCCTTCCTTAGAAAAATGCATAGTGTCAAGAAGTAAATTTAAGTCTTTATGAGGAGTATTAAATTTCTTGACCGTGCTCTCAAGTTTAGCGACTTGCTCTTTTAAAGCTTTGCAAGACCCACATTCACTTGATGAGCTTTCTGGTTTGTCAGCGCTTCTTTTTCCAAAAAATTTGTTTTCTTGTTTAAGTGTTTCGTTTTCTTTTTCTAATTTTTCAAAATCGTTTTCAAGTAAAGAAAGTCGTTTCTTCAAAGATTTATTTGTTTTAGAAGCGCTAACAAATTCCTCATAGAGTTCATGAAGTGCTTCTTGCGTTTCTTCAAAAGTATAAGAGTCGGAAGAAATGTTACATACCTCTTGGACGTCGTCGCTTTGATCTTCGTGTGCCATGAGGCAGAGATTTGCAGCTTCGTCCTCCTCTTGGTCGGTTGATTCGTCGCCGGAATCGCCACCCCAAGAGATGTAGGCCCTTTGCTTCTTGAAGCCAGGCTTGTCCTTGCCGTGTTTGTCCTTTGGACACCTTAGCTTGATGTGGCCAATCTCGCCACAGCCGTAGCATTTGGGAGGACCGTCGTGCTTCCTTCCCTTTCGCTCAAATTCCTTCTTCATGAACTTGTGGAACTTTTTGATGACGAGCCCGAATTCATTGTCGTCATCGCTTGAAGCCTCTTCCACCGGTTCCTTGGTGGCTTTGAGAGCTATCCCCTTTTTCTTTTGTTCATC